GTTGTTACTTGTGTTCGAACAGAAGGATTGACCAAATATTTCCCTATTTTAGTTGGATTACATCAAGGATCAACTTTAAGTCCATATCTTTTTGCTTTAGTTATGGATGATTTTGCTCGACACTTACAGGAGGATGTACCTTGTGTATGTTGTTCGTTGATGATATCCTTCTAGTGGACAAAATTAGAGGAAGAGTTCAGAAAATACTTGAATTATAAAGGTCTATTTTGGAGTCTAAAGGCCTTCATTCCTTTTGAGACTGATTCGATCATTATTTTGAAAGAATTTAAACGTCTTTAGGTCGATTCACATGCAATTTTGCCCCTTGCTTAGCTGATTTGTTTTTTTAGAAGTGGGTTGACCTCCATTTTCTGTTGATTTGTTTTTTTATTACTACGGTTAAGTTAAAAAATGAGAATTTCTGATTAGTTATTTTCAAGATTATTCACACCTTAAAAAATAAAAAGAAAAGGGAAGGAAATTTAAAAAAAATGATATTTAGTCTGTTGAGATGATTGAAACTTAAAGGGAAAATAAGGTAACAAATCATTCATCATTCTTTTACATAAGAAGGATAAAATTATAATTGTGAGAATTGTTGAGAATTGAGAGAAAGTAAGAGTCAGGGGCCTGAATTGTAAATGTACTTGTGAGAATTGTAAATGATTTAAGAGTTAGGGACCTGAATGGAGAGATCAATAGACTATCAATTAGGACCCCTAAGCATTGGATAGACTTAAGCCCAATTGTTTTAATTAGGATTGAAGCACATTTCACGAACATTTTTTGCCAAAATTATATGTTTACTCCCTAGGTCTTAAGAGTCTAATAATGAGCTAAATTTGATCTAAAGATGTTCGATGATTAGTTGAAAAACACTTAATTGAAGACAAACACTTTAAACACTTCAAACTCAAGTTAAAGTGTAAGCTTCCTAGATTTTAGGAGCGCACCTTAGATGAGAGTTTATCTATCTAATTTTTAAATGAACACTGAAATTAGACACCTGACCATAATTTATAAGTTAGTTAAAGCAATAGACAAGGTATGCACCAGACTGTGGTTCATGACTCTCATCATAACTTGACCTAAAATAAAACTCAATGCTTCGGGATTTGAGCTTGAATCTTACACAAATCCTCCTGACAAATGGGGACATTCCCAATGTCACATATAAATTTTCCACCTTTGATCCTTTATATGTGACATTGTGTTTTGTTTTATTTGTTTGTGTCTTTTTCCTACAATTTGTTTCAAGTCTCTGAATTTGTTTCATCCTACAATTTGTTTCAAGTCTCTGTGGGTCGATTTCAGTTTTCCTCAGGGCTTTCCATGTATTACTTCATTTATTCTGTTATACATAAACACATGTTTGTCCTGCTAGCTGAATTTTTCTATTATACTATTACTTGCGATGCTGATCTCATTTACAGGTGTAGCAATAACAAGAAAAATCAGGTACCTAAAGTTTACAATACATTTATAGCACTTTACTGCATTTTCTTATACATTTTATACTGTTTTCATTTACTGTTCTTCCTTATAACATTGTTTGTTTATGCATGCTTTAAATTAACTACAAAACCTTTAGGATATAGTCTGGTTTAGAAGGTATATAGTGGTAAGTCACCAAATAACAATATTGCACATTCACATATAATACACTAAACTTGAAACTACTACTGTATGGTACATGGAGCAAGTCTTCGTGGGCAGCACAACCAGGATATAGCGGACGGAGAATGACAATCTACAACAGTACAATAAGTCTAAGACAATTAAACATTTTCCTTAGTTTAAATAACTAATAAGACTTCGAGGTAGTTTGCTTAGCGCAATGTGAATCCTCACATATTACCTTTAGGCTTTTGCACATTTTGCACAACCCTGTTGTGCAGCCCTGTTGTGCAGTTATAAGTCCTAACACTTTTAGGATTCCGAGGTTACTGTACGGTACGGTGTAAATCTTCCAATCTTTCTAGGCTATTTGCATGATCAGATATCGTGCGAATATAAATTCTAAATTCTAAAAATAAATTGCAGGATTAAACATTGAATAACATCATTTCAAAGACATAAAGCCAAATAATAGAATAGTTGGGAGGTCACCGGGGTTCTCCTCGGATTCGTAATATCCCATACTCTTCATTCATTTGGATTCCTTGAAATAACTGTTCCTGTTTGAGCCTCCCATTTGATTTTCCCATGTCCAATAATAGAAACCTAAACTTTGAATACTTGAAAGCAGAACCACTGATTTTAATCAAGAGTTTTCTTAAGTGACTTCGGTCATTTAAGATGTAATTAACTATAGAGGCTTGCCTCTATAGAGAACTTGGAACCCAGGTAAAATAAACCTATCTAATCCTTATATTAGATAGGAGAACTTGTCGGTTATAGAAAAAAAGTTTCGCAGACCAAACAAATGTCACAAACTCTTTAATTTAGGTGGTTAAGCCTAATGTCATGTGGAATACTTATATTAGATACGAGAACTTGTCGGTCATAGAAAAAAGTTTTCACAGACCAAACGAATGTCACAAACTCTTTAGTTTAGGTGGTTAAGCCTACTGTCATGTGGAATACTTATCCTTCGGGATAGTGTGTTATATGTCATATCGCTCTTAGTCATCCAAACTATTCAATATGTGAGACTCGTTTGGTCTCATCTATTTTCAAAATTAAAATATTACTTTCAAAAATAAAAAATCACATATTTATATTAAAATTATTTTCATATTTACAAAAATCATTCTTTCGAAAATAACGGCCGACAAAGCCTTTCCTAGCCAAGGAGAATGACGTGGGTGCATCCGCTTCCCCCAAATCCCACAAATCGCAGGATATTAATCCCATGAAATTTCTAAGAGAGAATTGATGATTGTAGCGATCACAGGAGAGGAGATTCGACCGTTTTTTTTTTATTATTTTCAGCAAGATTTTCTTCTAGTTTTATATTATTTTGTTATTTATGTATTACTAAATTGATAATTTTCTACTAAGGGACTTTTATATTTTTTGTATTTAACTGTTTGAGACTTTAGTTTTGGATTCTTTGAGTTTTTACTTTTCTTTTATTTCTATTCTCTGGAGTGTTGTATCCTCTTTCTATTTCTAGTGGTGTGTTTGTAACTTGTTTAGGAACAAGTGGAGGATCCCTCTCGTTGTTTCACTATTCGCCCGCTGTTTTTCAGTCAAACAACCATCAAAACCATGGCCACCTACTACTTACAATAGGAAACTATTGTTTTCCCATTTTCGGTTCACTATCTAACCCTACTCGTGTTGAATCTTAGCCGCCATCCATCCTTCCACTATCTAACCCCACCTTTTGCTGTTTTCTCACACCTTCTAAGAGCCCTAGAATCATGTCAATACTACTTTAAATTAAATATTTAGTATCTACATATTAGCCTTAATTAAAAATTCTCTCAATATGATAGGGGTAATTAACCATAGCCGAAAATTCAGCCTAGAACAATGCTATCTAAGAAGAATTGGACGGAAATTTTAGAAAATATGATTTGTTTACTTTCTCATACTTTATACTCAGCTTAGCAAGACCACATTGTGTTTGAAGTTGGGCATCTCATACAAAAAATTAATCAATCTGGATAATTTATCGAATGCATTTTCAAAAAAATTTATGTGTTGAGTTGAACGTTTTTCCGTAATGACCCATACAAGAAAAAAATGCCCCAGAGTAATAATCTAAAGAAATTTGTGCCACGATCCTGCAACTAAAAATTAGAGAAATAAAACGATAATATTGACCTTTCATTTAAGATGGCAGACAATAGCTTTTCGTTTATTCATGTTTATGGAAGTAAGTATATCAAAATGACCAAGTTAAACTGAGTGGTAAAATGGACTTTACAAATAATGATCGAACAACTAACCAAAGTAAAATGGAGAAAATTGTGTTGACAAAGGATGTAATCTGAATGAATGCACATGAAGTTGTAAGATAACGAAAATTAGTGTTAATTTAGCTTTACATCTTCAAATAGAGCAAATGGCATGGAGATAAAAATTAGAAATCAATACATAAGCAATTACAACTTACAATGTAATGCTGATTAGAAACTAAATAAGAAAATAACAACCAATTGATTACTTTTCTGAATTGAAAAAGTTAAGTTTCAGTGAACTAAAAAACCGACAGACACGTTCAGAAATTGAAGTTAGAGAACCAAAATACTATATTCATGAAATCAGAATTTCAGAAATAATACTGAGTAAAGAAAATATGCTTAAAAAAAGTATGAATGAGGAGATCTGTTCAACAAAAACAAGAAAATAACAAACTAAACAATCTTAAACAGAAAATCGTTGAAATTAAAGTTTTCATAAAGGAAACACAAATCGCCGGACTTGAAATTAAAGAGCAATGTCTGGGCATGAAAAGATGTGAAAGTCCTTAATTGCTTCAGAAAGCTAAACGAGGGGCTTCACTGGGTTCTGCATACAAGTTAATATTTTACATACCAGAAAAAAAAAAAGCTTTTGTGCATCCCCATCAACTTCATCAACTTTTGCATTGCAAAAGTTTTAGGGGCATTTACGTACATACCACACAATTCTTATATATTTACATATCTAACACCTAAACTTTCATATTTACATGCATACCACTAAATTCCTTAACATCACATCAAAAATACAACTATTACCAACTTTTTAAAAGTGAAATACACATTTTCATGCATAGTTTTATAGCACCAAAGTGTTATAAATGTATTTACTTAGTTGTTAGATCTGTAAATACATAAGAAGTGTGTGTTATGCATGTAAATGGCCCAAAATTTTAACATCACTAAAAAGTCCCTATAAGCACATGGCAGATGAGAAAGCTACAAAATGACAAGTTGACACATTTTACAACAAAACGCCAAAACTATGCAGCACGGCTTATTCACATAATAAATAAGCAATGCTGAAATTCAACAATAAAAATTACATATTTATTCAAAAAACTTATATTTCATCTACCAACTTACTCGAAAGAATCATATGGAAGAAGGAGAAGAATGGTTCTAGAAACTGAGTTATAGATTTGAAGCGCTTGAAAGGAAATCTTTAGTATAAGCCTTCATGTTAGTCACGAAAACCTAAGCATTTCTTGGAGCAATATCCAAAGTATAACGGCCGAGCCTTCCAGTTCGGTAAAGATTAAGTAACTTGGAAGCAACAACTTTACATCTGTCTTCTTCTGATTTATTTAAGATTCTTAAAGGTTCACATAATACAGTAAAAGCAACATCCATGAATCGTTCCATTTCTTCTTCTTTTTCTTGATGCAGCTTCAATGATGATATAGATTCAAAAAGTGTTTGGCGTACATCACTGACAATGCTATCCTGCACATATTAGATTATCTTTTAGTTATAGAGATTTGGTTAAAATCTCATAACAAAGAAAGCTTGCTAATTTAGTAGACATGGGGACTATCTTTCATTTTTCGCATTTTAAAGTCCCACTTAAATTTTAAATTTGAAACAGAATGTACAAAATTGGCATTACTACATGAGAGATGAGCTTAGGGACCTATTATTAACAAGTACTGTTTCGGGTGGTTTTTTTATGGCTGTGCTTCCCATTCAGTCACCATAATTCTATGGGGGATTTACATACATACCATTGAAACTACCTAATTTTCATATTTAACATCTAAACTATGGAATTTAAAAACATTCCAGCTAAAAAGCCCAAAAAGCAATCTCTCTACCTCCATTTCATAGCCACATTAAACCATGCACAAGAATTTTCTTCCCAGTTTCCTCCAGCACCGCACGGGCTGTAGCAATTGAAAGCCTTCCTCCTTCCTCTCCAAACAATTGTTCTTCCATTTCACAGGAACAACCTGCTGCCGAGACCATCATGCTTTCTCAGTAAGCATTAGCCATATCCGAGAAGAAGATGAAATGAGTTATGGTGACATTCGATGTTCACAGCACACTAATCAAGAGCACTGGAGAGTGAAAACTCCTCCAACAGACTACTGCCAACTTTTCTCTCACGCCTTTTTCTAAGTCTTTGGCCTTAAGGATGTCAGCATCGACGCCATCCAGGTTCCTTCACTTTCCATACTGGCCCCCAAACTTTGCTCTATGTAAATGGTTTCATTCTCTTGTTTAATTTTAACTATTCTTCATCCTCATTTTTCTCCATAAAAATGAACAAATTGGGGAAAAAACTGTGGCAAGTATAACTAGTTAACTGTTTGGTTTCCTGATTCTCAATTCACGCTCAAGTTCGAAGCTGCTGAAGTTTGATCTATTTTCTAGAAGATCAATTTTTAAAGGGCAGGTCCGTGGCATATCTGATTCCATGTGGTTTTAACAGACCAAGGTTTTAGATATTAAATATGAAAATTTGGCAGTTTTCACTGGTATGCATGTAAATCCCCCTAATTGTATTTGGCTACAGCTTTTTTGATGTTTTTCACAATTTTTTTTTTAAGAGAAAGGACTTTTACAATCAAATATGTAAGAGTATGATCGCTGTAAGAAAGCCAGACATTGTCTAACTTTTTGAAACGAAGAGTTTATACTATCCATAATGATTTCAAAAAAAAAATGTTTTCATATGTCAGGCTTGTCAGCTAACTACTTTCACACATGGCTGCATCCCCAATAAATAGACCCAAATTTGAATATTTTATTCATAAATTGCTAAGTTTCCAATTAGAACGTTGAATAAAAACATCTTTAAAGCTGACCACCTGTGTATGATCTGATTCATACTGCCTTCTTCTCTTTTGGTCAGAATCAACAAACTTTCCTGTTTGGGTGTTGGATAACAACACCTGATCCCATGCACGTTTCAGGCCCTCCCAACTTTTATATACATCTGAAGAACTGAGGACAGCTAGTAAAAACCGAGCTAGATTATACTCACCTATCAGTGAATCCTTGATGGCACCTGAAACACAAGAAAAATGGATGCATCAATTGAGTTAAATTTATTTAGTAAAAATAATAAAGAGAAGATTTACACATAAACCGCTCAATTCTTATGTATTTGCATATCTAACATCTATACTTCAATTTTTACAGATATGTCACTTTGCTCGTGCATCTTTTTAAAGTTAAAGTGGTGGTATTTGTTATGTGATTTGAAAGATTTGGGTGTAATAAATGTAAAAAATAAAGTTTAGGTGTTAGATATGTAAATACATAAAAATTGGGTGGTATGTATGTACATGCCCCTATTAATAAAGTGTACGAAGCCACGAACCAGCTAACGCGAGCTTGGAACCAGAGTCGTCATCAGCAATTTCAGCAGACAGAACACCTGGCGTGTCAAATACATATATGTTGGGATGGCTAGCAATCTGGAGAAAAGCTGACAACAGAACCAATGAGGAGAATATCAAGTTGTCATATTGCATAGTTCTAAGGACCAGTTGAGATAATGAGACAAACTTAACATGATTGAGAATCAGCTTCAGCAAGAAATGTGATTTGTAACTTGTCCAGTAAATTGTTTCCCATGATTAAACAGTTAGCAGACTAGCATTTACAAATTTGCACGAGCCTTTTTTTTTTGTAAAACATTTGTTTAGGGGAATACATTTAATGATCACCACAGCAAGGTATCAAAACACAAAATTCTATAGGAACATCCGCAAAAAAAACATTAGCAAACTAGGAGAGGGAAGGAGCAACGAGTTAGGAGGATTGTTATTCATTTCCTGGTTGCTAGGACTATTTTCTTTTGTTAAACTACATATACATCGGACAACTTATTGATTAAAATGTGCTTATTTATCATCAATAGCCAGATTATTTATTAAATGTTTTATCTATTGCCCTCTGAAATACAGGATGGTAGCACACCCACCAATGAGAAAGCAAATTTTGTAGGAAAAAGATAAATAGCAACCGATCTTATGTAACATTGCAATACTTGAATAATATTTAGAAATAATAATAATAATGAAAGAGAATAACCGGATTGAGCATAATAAATTCATAATTTTTGAAAATAGTTATTTAGGATACATTTCCAATCCAGTGGGAAGATAGAAAAACACCTTATAACTGCGGATATCTCTAGTCTCTCCAGGCTGTGGACTCACAACTGCATGCTTCAGTTTTCCTTTCTCTTCAAAATAGAATAAATCATAGTTGGCTCTAATTAAATAAAAAATCTGGATTAAACCAATATAAGTTGTTTTTCTAAGTTATTAAGATGATGAAAAACCACCATTAATTTAATCCTTTAATAAAAATAGAACAAGATTGGCAGATACCTGCAGCATCTATCCTGCCAATGAGATGCATAGAATTGGCAATGGCTGATTTTCCAACATTTGGAATCCCCACCAATAATACTGTAGCAGTTGATGTATTCTGTATCTCGCCAACTTTCAAGTCCCTAGTTCGTTTCTTTACAGCATTTAACAGCTGCATAAAGCAAGCACATAAACAATTTTTCGAGCACTCTTTTACTTACGGAGAACCTATTATATATTAAAAAACCAGTTCCATGTGAATTATCTTTCCAAAGTGGAATAAGATTCCAAATGTAAAGCATGGAAGTTTATAGGGGCGGCGTGCTGCATATTTAACAATCGGCTTATCCAATTTTAGCTGCTAGAAAATAGTAATATTACTTTTACCTGATTGATACTTTCATTGTTGTGGGAGTTCACACCAAGACAAATATGATTCTGCTTCTGAAAATGCACGGTCCACTCCTATAGATTATAAACCCAAATGAGAATTTCAATAAAGATAATTGTTACGGACAACTATGTAAATAGAGATAAGTCTCAAAATCTTCTTTGTTAGAGGTCATTTTAGTCCCATAGTCTATAAAGTGTCAATTTAGTCCCTAGACTCTTCTAATGCAAGCTAAAATAATCTCCATAGAAGACTATTTCATCCCTAATTCAGGGAGTTTGGAGACTAATTTCACACTTTTGTAGACTTTAAGAGTAAAATGGCCACATGTAAATAATTAGAAGACTATTATGGTACTTTACTTGAGAAATGCACTTGCATCTCTCATGTTCATGATGCAAGTCACTTTATACCAAAACTAGCTAAAAGCATTAAAAACAGAAATTGAAGAGAAAATTTGTTTCTTCTTTTTGATTCAATTCAAGGTGCCTTTACATATAGGAGTCCCTCCTCCTTAGATAAAGAAACTAACTAAATAAGTTTCAATAATTTCCTATTATATTACAAGACTAATTAAGCAAGATTTGGTACAGATATCACATAATATAAATAAGGAAGGAGAATAAAATTTGTATAAGAGGAAAGACAATAAATATTGTAATTTGAATTAGATCTTTCAACACCCCCCTCAAGTTGGCATGAAGATATCTTTCAGAGCCAGCTTGCACACTAAACCGTCAAACTGTTTTTTGTGAAGACCCTTTGTTAGAATATCCGCTGCTTGGTCGTTAGAGGGAACATACATCATGCAGATATCTCCTCTGTCAATTTTTTTTTTGATGAAGAGTTTGTCTATCTCTACGTGCTTTGTTCTATCATGAAGGACAAGATTGTGGGCGATGACGATGATAGACTTATTATCACATTACACATTTATCAGTGGTGGACTATGAATTTTAACTCCTTGAGAATTCTTCTAATCCATAGAACTTCACATATCCCATGAGCCACAGATTTGAATTCAGCTTCAGCGTTGCTTGTTGCCACGACACTTTGCTTCTTGCTCCTCAAGGTTACTAAGTTCCCTCCTAGAAAAGTGCAGTACCCTGAGGTTGACCTTCTATCTGTAACACTCCCAGCCCAATTTGCATTTGTAAATGCTTCTACCTGTAAGTGCTAATTTTTCTTGAACAGTAGTCCTCTTCTGGGAGTTCCTTTCAAATACCTAAGGATCCGATAGACAGCCTCCAAGTGATGAGTATTTGGAGAATGCATAAACTGACTTATCATGCTAACAACAAATGTAACAATAAATGTTATATCAAGACGAGTGTGTGACAAGTAGATTAGTCTTCCCACCAGTCTCTGATATTGTTCTTTATTGACACCATCTATTTTATTTGTCACTTGTAATCTTTTATTTGGTTTAATCGGGGTTTCGGCTGTTTTGCGCCCAAGCATTCCGGTTTCATTGAGTAAGTCGAGTACATACTTTGGCTGATTAATAAAGATTCCCTTCTTAGATCTGACAAACACAATACCAAGAAATTAATTTACATCTCCCAGATTTTTAATCTCGAATTCTGTGGCCAAGCTTTCATTTAATTTCTCAATTTCCCTGACATCATCTCCTGTAAGGATAATATTATCGACATAGACAATGAGTATAGCGAGTTTACCAGTTTCTGAATGTTTGTAGAACATAGTATGATTAGCTTGACTCTGAGTGTATCCATATTTTGTAATCAACTTTCCAAACCTCTCAAACCAGGCGCGAGGAGATTGCTTGAGCCCATACAAAGATTTCTTTGATATGCACACTTTGTCTTCTCCAAACTTCTTCTCAAATCCTGGTATCCATGAATACCTCCTCTAATTCACTGTTTAGAAAAGTGTTTCTAACGTCGAGCTGATGCAAGGGCCAATTACGGTTTGCTGCTATGGACAATAAAACCCGAATAGAATTGACCTTGGCTACCGAGTGAATGTCTCCTGATAGTCAATTCCGTGAGTTTGAGTGAATCATTTCGCTACTAATCTTGTTTTATATCTTTCGATACTCCCATAAGTTTTGACTTTAGCAGTGAAGACCCATTTACACCCAACAGTAGACTTGTTTCTTAGTAGGGTGACAATTTCTCAGGTCTTATTTTTCAAAAGAGCATCAATATCTTCCTTTACTGCTATTCTCCAATTTGGATTACTAAGAGCTTCCTGTATTGTTCTGTGTTCAGACATATTAGAAATTTTTGACGAAAAAACTTGATGTTTGTGTGAGATTTTTTTGTAGGATAGGTATTTCGAAACATGATATTTGGTAGTACAAGAACGTGTTCCTTTTCTAAGGACTATAGGAAGATCCAAATTCATAACCTCTGAATCTTGAGCTTCTGTTGGTGAAAAAGTAAGATCAGGATCATAAATTACCTGTGTTTCTTGAGGATCATTATTCGGTTCTTCAAATTAGGAGGGAGCTAAAGATTCAGTTTAAACTTTTTTTTTATGGAGCCTCTTCCTGGAATAAACCAGAGGTTCTGTTGTTGTATTATGTGGTATTTCTCCCTTGTATTAGACAAGATACTTTTAGGTGTTTCTCGACTCGGATTCTCCTTATTTTCAACAACTATTTCTGGTTCTTTGTTTTCACAGACCTCAGGTGTACTTGGTGTTAGAACAATTCTTGGTAATAGATTATAAACTTGCCAAAAATCATCTTCTCCATCTGTATTATACTCCCCCAGAAGTGAATTTTTGTGAAAGAGAATTTTTTCCATGAAGATCACATCCATACTAATGTAAATTTTTTTGTTGACAGAATTAAAACATTTGTAACCCTTTTTGTTTGAGGCATATCCAAGAAAAATGCATTTTTCAGATTTTGGATCCAATTTTGATCGGCAATTATTCGGAATATGAACGAAACATGTGCATCCAAAGATTTTTAAAGAAATATTTGAAGACATTCGTAGACTTAAAAATTATTTTTCAGTTTGTTTAGAGGAGTTGTATATTGTAAAACTCGAGTTGACATTTAGTTTAATAAATATGATGTTGTTAAAACAGTATCTCCCCATAAGTATTTAAGAACGTTCATTGAAAATATGATAGCCCGAGCACACTCAAGTAAATGTCTATTTTTTCTTTCAGCAAGTAAATTGATGAATTATGTCTTTGTTTATTAAGAACTCCCCTAAACAATCATTAAAATATTCAGTTCCATTGTCAGATCTAAGGATGCATATTTTAGTTTCAAATTGAGTTTCAATCATGTTGTAAAAATCATTAAAAAGTTTTTCAACTTCTGATTTTTTGCTTGTAAGATAAACCCAACATATTCTGGTGTGATCATCAATAAAAGTCACAAATCCCATTTTCCCAGATAATGTTTTGACTTTTAAAGGTCCTCAAACATCACTATGGATCAAGTAAAAAAGTTTTGAAGGATAGTATGGTTTTGGAGCAAATATTAGGCGAGATTTTTTGCCAAATAACACGTTTCACATTGAAGTAAAGCACAATTAACACCCTTAAACAAATTAGGAAATGAATGTTTTAAATAAGAAATAAACGTTTCACATTGATGGCCTAGTCTAAGATACAATTCTATTATTTTCTCTAATGCAGAGTTCGACCTCATACTGCAATAAGCTTCAACCTTTTTTTTACTAAGAACAGTCTCCTCAAAGTAGTAAAGTCCTCCTATCTTTTTAGCTCTTCCAATCATCATCCCCGACTTTTGGTCCTGAAAAACACAAGAAAATTCACAAAAAATTATACGGCAGTTAGAATCTTTTGAAAGTTTACTGATGGATAGAAGATTAAATTTGAGTTTTGGAACATGGAGTACAAATTTAAGACCTATACTCTTGGACAGATTAATGTTTAATTTTCCAGCAATGGAAGAGAAACTACCGTCAGCAATACGAAACTTTTCATGGCCAGAACATGGGATGTATGAATGAAACAAATAGTGTAAATTTGTCATATGATCAGAAGCTCTTGAATCAATAATCCAAGGGTTTAGTTGTCTACCTGCATGTACCATTGAACAATTTGGAGCACCAGTAGCCAAACTGAGGTTTAGCAGATTCAGGAGTTGATCAATTTGCTCTTTGCTAAATGAGTTGGTTTGTTCGACAACAACATTAGTAGTAGGTGGCTTGCGCTTGCTTCTTGGCTTCCAATCTGCAGGTTTACCGTGGAGGTACCAACAAGTTTCTTTAGTGTATTGTGGCTTGTTGCAATGATCACACCACACCCGTGGTTTCTCCTCATTCTTCTGTGAATATGGAACAGTCTGCTTGCTAATATGAGCCTCCAATTGGAATGTCAAAGTCTCAGGTATGCTGGTAGGAATGGATTTCTTGTTGAACATCACTCCTCTTCGAGTTTCTTCGCGACGAACTTCTGAGAAAGCCTCATGTATTGAAGGCATAGGAAATTTAAAAATACTATTTGTATCAACAATGGTCTTATACCTACTAGCATCATCAGGACACTTCCACTCTTAATCATTCAACAGGTCAAGGTCTTGCAATATTCTCTTCAAAGAATTAAAATATTTTGTGACAGAGTCATTACCTTGACGAATATCACCAAGTTTCAGGGAAAATTCATAAATCTGAGATTGGTTACCCATATCTGAATACATTTGGGCCACAGTCTCCCAGAATTCTTTGGCAGTAGGGTAACACATGTAGTTTGTGTCTATCTCTTCTTCCATAGAGTTTACCAACCATGTCATTATCATGGAATTTTTTGCATCTCAGGTTGCATAGGATGGATTTATAGTGGCTGGCTTTTGGAAATTCCCCCGTTTGGGGACTTCCCCTGTTAGGTAGCCTATCTTCCCTCTTCCTCTAATGTACATCCTCACCGATTGTGACCAGCGTAGATAATTATCACCATTGAGACGGATTGTGGTGATCTGGGATGGATGATTTTCGGTGGTTCTAAAGAGGGTGATGCAGAAGCAGATGACAGGGTGAAAGGCTGAGTAGAAGTAGCAGAATCTTTTGTATTTTCAGACATGGTAAGAAAAAAGATTGTATGACTTTATAGGTGTGAGACAGAGTTCCAACGGTTACCTAGGAAGATGAAGAGGGCTTCGCAGGTGGCGGCCTAGACAACGGCTTTGCCAGTGGCGGAGCAGTGGAGAGGCAATGTTTCGCGAATCGCGAGTTTGTGGGCAGCGAAGCAGATTAGAGCAGCAACGGCGAAATAGAAGGCTTCGTTGTTTGCAATCCCGACTCTTATTTACGTCAGCAGCGACTTCTGTCAAGTATTCCGTTGCCAGCGACCTTCCTCGCCTTCTTAGGTTCGAAGAAGAGAAGCGTTTGCTTCGGTCACCGAGACAATCTTCTTCATGCAAAAGGGCAGGGTTCTCCGGAATTTTTTTTATTCCCACTCTGATACCATAATAACAAAAATTGAAGAGAAAATTCATTTCTTCTTTTTGATTCAATTCGAGATGCCTTTACATATAAGAGTCCCTCCTCCTTAGATAAGAAAACTAACTAAATAAGTTTCAATAATTTCCTATTACATTACAAGAGACTAATTAAGCAATACAGATATCACATAATATAAATAAGGAAAGAGAATAAAATTTGTATAAGAGGAAAGACAATAAATATCATAATTTGAATTAGACCTTTCAACAAGCATGACAATGAATCTATCCCAATCTCATAAAGCAAAATTTAAAACTAAAGAATAACTTTAAATTACTGGATCGTAACTATAACTATAACCCAAAATAATGATATACCTCTGTCAGAGAGCAATCTGCTAGATCCATCTTGTTTAGAATTATCATATGCCTACTAGAATCCATATCATGCCAAGCTGATTTAAAAGCAGAAGCCATGGGGATCTGCACATAATTTGCATATTACTTACATGTAAAAACTGCAAAGAGAAACTGAAAAGAAGAAAAGCCAATCAAGAACGTGTAAGTTGAAAAAAAAATAAACATGAGAAACTATTTTGCCAGGTACTTGCTCAACATAACAGAAATACGAGATATTTAGGAAAGTCGATAAACATCATAAGGAATAAGAAACTAGTGTTCCATTGACCTTTGCATGCCTCTGAATTGCTTGATGCCTCCTTATATATGACGGAATTGAAGAAAGGAGGAATTTGAGAAGAAAATAAGAAATTAGGGCTCCATACTTCCGTCATTGAAGCATTACTATATAGACTAGGCAACGTAGTGATCTAGTGTTATAAAAATATGGAGAGGGACTAACCAACAAGATGAGAGACAAAGGGAAGTGCAGGAGAGAGGGAGAGAGACAGAGAAGAGAGAAAATACTGGGAAAGGAATCTTTCAATGAACTTCATAATTCAAAATTTATCCTAATAACAACAGTATAACAACTATTTAATGAAGGTTACAGGATTAAAAACAGCTTAATTTAAACTCAAATCTAGAAAACTAATACAATTTCTGGCATTTAATTAAAGCAAAAAATATCCTAAAAATTAAATAAACAGTGAAATAAATTCCAGATCAATAAAAAAATTACTAGAATATTTTGGAAATAATCTGGAATTATTGTCTTGCACTGCATCAATTGATTTCCAGAGATTAAAGTATGCTTAAGCATCAAATGATTCCAAAATTTCCAAATTAACGGGTCCAAATAATTTGGCCGATTTGGAATGAAATATTTTAGGCAGTTAAGATGGCTTTAAAAAAAATAGTATGCTTTATTTAGATTTTTCTCTCACCAGATGATTAATTGAGCTAAAACATTCATAATCCTTGACTAACTTATCAAAGACAAAAAAAAAATGTGTGATGCATTTTTTATGCAAGGGTTTTAAGGGTCAAAGTCAACTTCAACAATAGAAATAATATATTTTATAACCTAAAGTTGAAATTAGAGTTTATTGGGCACAAAAAAGTAGTTGCAAAGAAGCTAAAAATTTTTATTTTAGAAATCACTCTTGCCGAGTGATTATTTATAATTATACTTAAGTTGATGTTTGATCAATAAACAAGACTTAACAACAAAATGAATTTTTGTATCCAAGGAAATAAAAGGTAGAGATAAACTACAGCAAGTCTACCTTAAAAATACCACCCTATAATTAAAAATGACATATGCACAAAACAGCATTAATGACTTAACAAGAAATATACTTTTGCATCCATGAATTTAACAGGTGGAGATCAACTACAAGTTGATCTTGAAAATGTCACCCTAAAACTAAAAAACAAAAAATTCTATTGGATGAAGTGGAGTGCTTGACCATTTGGTTGTAATTTAGTCTAACTATACACAAAAGGAAAGAAATGAGATAAAAGTCATTCAAATTGTCACATTAATATCATTCCCTCATACAGCCAATATTATTTTTTTCATTTTTTTCCTAAGAATAAAATACATACCAAAAAATTAAATAGTTGAATATCGATATGAAATGATTCATGAGTATGTAGCACAAACCTCATCCATTGATGTTATGGAGCATGGAAATTTTCAATGTTGTAGGGTCAAACAACAATGGATAGATAAACATCAGAAAATATTAGGAAATTGCATGCAAATGCCATTTAATATGCTATTTTATTTATAAAGTGGTAAAACTCCTCTTTGAGATCGGTCAAGGGCACTTTAAAAACTATTACAGCACAAATCTCTCCATCCCATTTGGATCCTTCATTATATTTTTATATTTTATATAATAATGATATATTGATATATTTTCTCCTCAATATCATTCTAGATTTGAATATTACTCTATTCAATGCTATTTATGATACTATATTTTGAGCTTCATGTTCTCAATCTTACAATTTTTTTATATGTAAAACATTCTGAGTACTAGACTCAACATAAACTAATGTTTCATGAGTTGCATTTTCCTCATATCCGTTGCATTACATGTCCGAAGTTAGTTGCCTGGCACAAATGTGCTAAAGCAAAAAAAAATATCATCAAAATTCTCTTCTTCCTTTGTAATCTATCTAATGAATAAATGGCATCTTAGCCCATGAAACATAAGTACATCTAATTTTTGTAGGAAAAAAACAATCCAAAGCTATTCAACGCTTGAAATTTTGAACTTAGATTTGCAATGCATAAAAAAACAAAAAAGAAAAAAGAGACAAATACAACCCTTCCACCCATTATGACTAAACTCATATCCTCTCCTCAAGCATCATTGCTAATCTACCGAACTACTATTTTCATGTTAGCAACCAAAATAGTATTTTTTATCGTGATACAAGTAATTTTTTATAAATATATTGTGCTTACAGCATAAATATCATGTACTGAAAGTTTCTAATAACAAGCGGACAAATTATGACCAATTAAAAACACAAATATCACAAGCATTTTTCATGTTTAACGATTAACTCTGACACTCATGTTATGGCATGCATCTAATTTTCATTCTTTTGGAGGCACCACAATCCAGCACTACAAGAAGGTTTCATATGTACCCAAATTAATCAAACAGATTTATATGCACTTCCTAACCAAGTTAGGCCTAGAAAGGTGATTCTAGTTGATTCAAAGTACATGTTTCTCAACATTAGTTGGAGTTAATTTGATGCATCAGAATACACATAAAAAGAAAAGTAGCTGCGCTGTTTGAATTCTTGAAGAAATATGCCTGAACGTTGTTTGTGATGATATTACTTTCAATGAGGGGTAATCTCTTATATTCCAGCACTAATTATTGAAGTGGAAGCCTTTAGAAACTTTTTCGAACCAATTTGAATTAGAACCTAGTTTGATTCTTCGTTTTAACAAATTTCAAAATTCTCCAACTTCACAGCTAAACTAAATGTGGAACAACATTCAAAATCCAAGCATCATTACTATCATTAAGATTGTCCCAACTACTTAAGGTCGTACTCATAAATCCTTGTTTTCCACTCCTTTTATTCCTTTTTCTTGGAGTCTAAGGACAAAACCCACTTGATCACTTCTTCAAATGTTCTCTTCCTTCCATTTATGTTAAGTATGGCATATGGTATGAAATGAAAACCTTATTTCGTATAAAAGTATTTGATTTCTACTCATATTGGTTTTTATCTATCTCTTATCCTTTAAATTATACTTTAAATTGCTTCCAGATTAATTTTATCCTATGACTTACTAGTGTATCCTCTGCTTTACAAACCAAACGCTCAAACCAACAAAGCGCAACTTTTATAACCTATAAGCTTTCATTCAATATTTCAAACAAATTAATCTATAGGAAACTCTCTATGATATTTTTATAAATAAAAATATTATACAAAAAATAATTAAGGGACCTAGATATTGTGATGCAAGTCAGATATGAACTTTGCTTATAGTCATAAGTACATAAAAATTCATATCTTTATTCGACCACAAAAAAAATTGGGATAAACTAATTATGCAACTAATTACCTCAGGGGGAATAACTTATGGTCTCACAATGAAAAAGATGGAAATTTTTATGAGAAAGTAGAAGTATTGTCCATTAAAAATAAGATTAGTGTGAAAAATAAATTTCATCGCTAAAGAAATTAAATATTGAACAAAATATCATCATGAAAAAAAAAATCAATTTTGATGAGTAATGCAAGCCTAAGAAGTTGATAATGAATCTTTGCTCTCAGAGCAAAAAATGCCAGCTTCATGCGAAATTGATTGTTGTTGTTTCTCCCAAGGTTACTTCTAATGCAATTTTTTTTTTCTCTTCGCCATAGCTCAATCAACTGGTAACTTTATGCAAATCACTCTCCTTGACCGAAGCTGAATAAAAATATATAACATAAAAAAATGGAGCAAATAAAACTCTGCAAGTGAGAGGAAGAAGATGGGTGCACTCCTTCACCCTCAACTAACTTGAAGAATCTCACCCATCTCATTTCTCCCATGCTAACTGAGAACGAGGAAAAATTATCCCAGCCAATATATCAAATGCAGTCGAGCCTTAGGACCATTCTGGTTCCTTTTTTTTTTTTTTTTTTTTTTTTTTTTGGCATTTGATTAGTTTATATATCAGCTAAAATGAATGCATAGGCTGTAAGAGAGCATCATTCCCATAATATTTAATTTTTTTAAGCATGTAAATTACATATTAAAACCAACAGAACAATCTTATGCCAGTCTGCTCATTTGCTGAGGTTTTCTTAATCATAAGATTCATTTACCCATCCACAACGAGAAGTTCCAATAGATAAATTTCAGAAAACTATAGTTCGGAATTAGTCGCACTTCAACCGGTTACATTGCTTCAGGAATTTCATCAAATACGTCGTAAGCAATGATTGGAACTTCTATAGCAATCGACAGACATCTCAAAACAATCATTCAACAGAAAAATAAGATAGAAATGATGAAGGTATTTGGAAAAAATATAAGACGAAAGAGATCATACCCTCGCATCTCGCACCTCTAAAACGAGATCAACCATAGGGATTCTCTCTCGGATCGCACGCTCAGAAGCAGCCATGTGCGGCCCGTACCAGCCCCCGTCTCCTTTCTTCCGCCCAATCTCCTTCACAACGGAGCTCAAGCGCTTCGAGAAGGAACTGAGCACTGCCATTCCCAGAAAAAGCAGAGGATTTGGGAGAAAAAGGAGGTCTTCAATTCATGTGTTTGCAAAGACATAATAGTTACGCTGTGCACAGAATAACTCTCATAATTCATTAATTCGATCAGTTAAAAAATACATCAATCCTAATATGTATTTATGCATGTCATAATTAAACTATTGATAATTTGATAAAAATTAGAAAAATAAGATTTTGGGGTTTTACAATGAATTTGATATTTGTGTGAGAATTATAAATGGATAAATGAGAGCATTTGATCTGTAAATAGCAAATTTTGGGGGGCCTGCCTTTTTAATTTCCATTAAAAAAAAAAAAAAAAAAAAAACTTTCATTTGTATATAGAAAGAACTCCTGCTCGGTTAGCTCTTCAAGTGAATTAATATTGAATAATTCTAATGGACACTATTATAACGCTTTCCTCATTTGGGTCGAAACTCGGGTTTGCTTTAATTGATTCGAAGAGCTCGCGTCATAGGATTCGAACTTCGACTCGAGGGACTTATGTCAGAGGCCACACCAATGAGACGGGACGTGAAACACACACACACAGATATATATA